TCCTCTGGACGTGATCTCTTCGATATCCTCGACGCCGCCAATCTCCATCACAACCACGAATATGACCCCAGCGGACAACACCTACATTCACTGCACATACAGTCTCAGGATGTCATCGCGCAGACCCAGCAATTTGCGTATGCATTGCACAGCAGTGGTGTGTCGGCACCAGGTAAGCGCAACCCCTCTATTTATCTCTATCCCATCAGCTTCATGTACATCATCCCCAACGAATTCTTTGGTCCTCCCATTAGGCCCTTTGCCTACGTATGGATGTCATTCCTGTGCCTCTGAGTTGCCAGGCCTGGATGACGTTTGTTCGGGATGGGATGGCGTGCTCTCGCTAGCTGCACGTGATCGAACGCGGCGACGGGACTTGCGACAACTGCATACCTGCCTAGGGAGGTGTGTATGCATGCTGTGCACAGACGCATATCGTTGCGTCAATCGCTCGATCGATGAAATACCCAGCGTTCACCGCATCTTCTGGGCTGTTTTTTTGTTTGCCTCAGACAATGGTCACTAACGTCATTCTAAGGCCTACCGTACACCTCCGAGGCGCCTACAATGCCGACCATGACAGGACATATCCCGCAACACTACGAGCACGACAGTGCGCTTCAGATCGGCTTTGATGATCTCCAGGGATTCTCTCCCGTTACACAAAGCTTCAACATCAACGCTTATCGCACGCCATACCCCGACAGCATCGCAACATCCACATCATCAGCCACATCGCCCGAACGCACCAATGCAAGTCTCCTCACCGATCCGGTTGTTGTCGAAGCAGAAGAGGACAAGCGAAAACGCAATCAAGCTGCTTCCGCACGCTTCCGGCAGAAGAAGAAGCAGCGCGAGCAGCAGCTCATGGAGACGAGTCAAAAGATGCAAGACCGGACCAAGAAGCTCGAAGCCGAAAATGATGGGCTGAAGAAGGAGAACATGTTTCTGAAGAAGTTGCTTGTTGAGAAGGTGGATCACATGAGCGATGAAGATCGGGAGCTGCTGAAGAAAGCCGCCGAGGGCGCGCTAGCTGGAGTAATTGGAAAGAAGTCTTGATTTGTTGCTTTCCAGGAGTATTGGAGTGTTCTTGACAGATGATGTTCTTTCAAGTGGAATCATACACGGTGGACGTAATCGGAGGCTGAAGGCGCAGTTCATATACCAACCCTTTCACATTCTTCGCCCATTCGATCGCGCTACGATGGCAATAGGCGAGTCAATTAAAAACTACAGTATGTGCTACCTCGGCGATAGACGCTCCTTATCTGCAGTCACCAACTCCGTCTGCGGTATCTGGTACAACCGCTACCCACGCTCATAAGGTTGGATGGAATCTGGGCGAAAACCTGGAAGATGCCAAAGATCGCGTCATTGCGCATCCATCAATTCTTCAATTGCGCCTTCGATCCCCCCCGTCATGAAAGCATCTCCGAATGCCTGGTATTGGTATGCACGCTCAGTGGGATCTGGCCACGTATTCGCCATTGTCAATGCCAGTAGGCAGGTGCTGTAGCTCTGCGTTGAAGTGTTGAGTACCGTTGTCTTGAGCTTCCACCCCAGTGAACACGCATTTGCTATGATCTGGAGGCGATCAGAGAGAACTTTGTTCTCGCGATTCTCCATCATCTTTTGTGCATTCTCGATAAGATAGGGGACTCCATGGTCGCGAATTCTGCCTCTCAAGGTCCCCTTGCCAGGCAAAAGGGGGCGCGACTCGAGTGCTGGAAAAATCTCGTTCCCTTCTGCGCATAAGAAGCGAAGAAATCTCATCTTGTCATAGTGTACAACAATATCCTTTTCAAGTATTGAGACCGAAGTCGCCACGAGACTCTCTGGGGAACCCAATGTATGTCGACGCAATGGCGGCCTAGGCAGAAGATATGCGACATATCCGGCGCAGTATTGTTCGTGGAACGTCCTAGTATGGAATCGGATCGTTAGTCTCAGTTCGGAGTATCCTCGAAGAAAGCTCACCAGGATCTACTGAACCATGGGTCCTCAGTCATCTCCCTCAGCGTTTCTCCGGCAGTTTTCACTTCATCGACAGTTCGCCTCAAAGTTTCCTCGGGAGTGAATTTTGACAAACGCACCCAACTAGCTGAAACTTTGGAGAGTGTAGCCACGGTAGATACACTGAAGTGGTATATCCGATGCATATCCTGCAAATGTTTCTCCACGTCATTGGGATCGGTCTGATCAATGCACTCCTGATCGATCCAGATTCGCTCGACCTTACAAGTTTTCACATCCGGCACACCACGACGAAGTACGTCAAGCTTTTCAGTTTTCGTAAACTGCACAACACGATGGAATACAATTGGCGGGCACCTGAGGAGTCTAGGATACTGTTTCAATTCGGCGCCGTCCCAGATACGGTATTCCGGAAGTTCAATTCCGTCGATAGGCTGCGAGTGAGTCCACACGTAAGATACCGTGATGTAATGATAATCGTACAACAAGTCGTTTGTCCAAAGTTCGCGAGCGGGAGTGAGAACGTAATCAAACTCCGTTCCACCTTGAGGGTAAGGCTCTAGAAATCGAAGACGTAGTGGTCCTAATTCGTAGCTTTCGACAAGTGCGATGCGCTCGATACGTTCCACTGCGGAGAGGAGCGCTTCTTTGTTTCCATGTATTTGCCCGAATGTGAGTGCTCTATCGTCTTGCATGACTGTAGGTGGAGGTTAAGTGAGAAGAGTTGGGTTGTACAAGGTTGGATGAAATCCATGAGGTGGCCTGCTCAGCCTTGTGGGGTTGCGCAGGCGGGCAGTGCCAGTCGTTGTAAAGATTGGACGCCACATGTTCATCACTACCAACAACAGCACCCATCACTCTCTCATCAAGGAAAAGACGTTGCGCATCTATCTCCAATGTCGAATAATAATTTGGAAAGATATCTACCTCACTTTACTTTTCCTTGACTGGGTACTTCATCGGACGAAGATAAGCCCCGCATTCGCCCGCTTCTAACCCAATTCGGCTAGACCAGGAGGGAGGTCACGATTACTCACCAAAGGACTTACGTGAGCCTCCCCTCGCTCTTGCGAACACCCGAACTGCGATCTGGCAAGGCTGAGGAACAGTCATTGTAATCTCATGTCGCCCTTACTCGGCCACCGTCTCTCAAATGTGGGGCTGACCAAGCTCGGCCTGCTCGCTCCTGGCCATCAGCGCGACAGTAATAGTCGTATGAGAGTGAGTACGTGGTGTCGTGAGATGGTATATATGCAGCAAAGGTAGGCCATGGACAGAAACATTATCAACACATTTCCAAACGCATTGAACACTCAACTCGACTATTAATTGTCTATCAAATTCCACTTCACAAGCTCCACTCTTCATTACATCCCCACATATAACCTCGAGCTTTCGGAATGGCAGCTACGATGCGCGGATGGCAGTTCAAGTCCGCATCCGGACCCATGGAGAAGAACCTCTCCATCTCTTCCTCAGGCCTTCCGATACCCACCATCAATAAAGACGAAGTGCTTGTTGAGAGCCATGCGGCAGCGCTCAACCCTATCGACCACAAGATCCTCGAACTCGGTTTCATCACACGCCTGATCTTTTCTGGGTTGACACCTGGCCTAGATGTATACGGCCGCGTCGCGAAAGTCGGCAGTAACGTCACAAGCTTCCAGGAGGGCGATATCGTATACGGTGGTCTCGTTCCGGGAGGCAAACATGGCGCTTTAGCGGAATACGTTCCCGTTCCGCAAAATCTATTGGCGAAAGTGCCACACGGCCTGAAGGGAGACGACATGGCGTCCATGGCGAGTACGGGCATGACGGTATACGCCGGACTAAAGCCGTATGCTGAACCCGGCAATAAAGTCTTCATCAACGGTGGCTCGGGAGGAACTGGTGTCGCAGCGATCCAGATCGCCAAGATACTCGGCTATCATGTTACAGTGTCATGTTCAGCGGCGAACATCGAGTTAGTCAAGAGCTTGGGAGCAGATACAGTACTGGACTACACCAAGACACCGATCATCGAACAACTGAAAGACACCGGCGCCATGTTCAATCTCATACTAGACAATGTGGGGACACCGGCGAACCTATACCGTGCTTCAAGCGCGTTCCTGCGACCGGAAGGCAAATTTGTTCAGGTTGGCCTTGGCATGAATCTGAGTGCTGCAGTTCAATTCTTCGGCAACAAATTGACTAGCTTGTTCAGCTGGGGGAAGAGAGAGTACATCTTTGTTGCCGGGAATGCGAGTACCGCTGTGTTCGAGCAGCTCGCGACGTGGATGGAACAAGGGAAACTTCGCGCGGTTATTGACTCTACATGGGAATTCTCGGAGGTGCCGAAGGCGTATGAGAGGCTGAAGACTGGAAGGGCAAAGGGTAAGATTGTTGTGCATGTGAAGAGCGATTGAGACAATTGGGGATGTATCATTCTAGATTTCATTCGAGCGATTCGTCATTTTAGATCTTCTTTCTACTAATAACATTTTCACAATTTCAATAATATTGAGCTCTGTTCTAGTTACTGTGCTGCTGTCATGGCTTCACATCGCCGATGAGTTGCTAGTCCCGACTCCCAGTTGGCATCTGACATCCCGTCTCAGATACACCAAGCCCACATCTGCATTCTTCGCAACTGTTGAGACACTCGGATGATGTTTCTAACCTTCATTCGACTTCACCACTTGCCGGTGTAGTGTAAAGAGACGGTTTCAATATACCCGACTTGGCAGCTGACCCGTGGGAGCTTGTGTGTTGCACAAGCTTCCTCGCTATGGTGCGCAATGCGAAGAATCCGACGAAAAGTAATGTCAAGATTATCGAATTGATGCAAGTAAGATCCGGATAGATAGCATGCGGGGAGGTGACTATAGGAAGACGGAAAATTTCGATCGTATCTCGGTTCGCGGATGCGAGAGGTCGAGAGATGAAGGATATAAAAGCCGACCAGAGCTGAGCTTAGAAGAACTCTCAGCAACAAGACCCAAGCACTACAGATCTACTTCCGCAATTCACAAACATTCACCACTATGAAGCTCGCCACGTCTTTCATCGCCCTCCTTCCACTGGCCGTGGTCGTAACGCCGATTACCTCTCCTGACCCTGCAGCAGAGGCCGTCGCAGACCTCCTCCCTCGAGCCACGGTGTGCTACCTCAATTCCGATGCCCTCAAGAATGATCCTCAGGGTTGCGACACCAGCCCTACCAGCGGTGTCCGCCACCGAGGTGTAACGGGTGGCGACCGCTTCAGCGTGAGTTGCACCAAAAAAGGCAAATGCATTAATGGGAACTGTATCTGGGACTATGTTCCGGCTTGGAACTGCTACATCTGGGCTGGCTGGACTCAGCAAAACTGCGAGCGTAAGTGTGATCGTTTTGCTGAAGTATGCTTTGTTGAGACGTGCGGATGTACTGACGCGAACAGGTGGGCTGCCGACTTGCTAGTTCGAGAAGGTGGTATTCAGTAGAGTATGAGTATGGGAAAAGTTCATAGGATGCGATGCAATGTGGGGAATGAGTGACCTTGAGGAATGGGAATACACGTTCGCTTTGTTGGTGTGGAGATTGGCGTTGGGATGAGATTGCGAGAAGAGTCTATAGTGAGAATGATCAATACAATTCGCTCCCTTCTCACAAGTCATGCTGATGTGGTTCTCCCATCTTTTTGCTGTAGCGCCCATCTCTTGTGTTTATTTTCGGCACATCAGACCCTGTTGGGGTTCCATTGTTCGGTTATCGGACGGCTGTGTGTCACGAGTCGGGTACTCTTGCGAATACAGGCTCAACACGAGATGGTCAGATAGCATCTTTTACAAGGCGGCGGAGGACGGATAGCATCAAATGAAGGTAGTAGAGAGAAGATGCTAAGTGCTAGGGTCCGGCAAGATGCGGCATGACGTTCGGCTTGGCAAAGCAAAAAGTTCGGAAGCTTTCCGAAAATCACGAGCGTCAAACTTTCAACATGCGCGCCTTGACGAGAAGCATACAACCTTTCTCCGCGGCTTTCACTCTCCCGAAACACGCCAACCGCATACGGCTGTCGAATGCGACTCCCTTGCCGTCATGGACGCGCTCATTCCACGCGTCGGCGAATCTGAGGGTCGTCGACCTCGCGTATCGGCTTCATGATGACTCCGGCAAGGCCAACGGAGATCCGATTGTGATTGTACATGGCTTGTTTGGGAGCAAGAGGAACAACCAGGGTGTCGGAAAGTAGGTGCCTCTCCCGAGCTGTCAGAGCTGGATCGGGACTGACAGGTTGTTCACAGTGCACTCGCACGCGTCCTGAAGCGTCCCGTATACGCCATCGACACGCGAAACCACGGCGAATCCCCCCACGATAAGGTCCACAACTACACCGCCCTCGCCGAAGACGTAGAAGCCTTCCTCCAGAAGCACGAGCTGAAGAATGCGACACTCATAGGCCACTCGATGGGCGCGAAGACAGTCATGACCATGGCGCTGAGGAACCCAGACTGCTGCGCAAACATCATACCAGTGGACAATGCACCAGTGGATGCGGCGCTATCAAGCGACTTCCCCAAGTACGCAGAAGGCATGCAGCACGTTGAGAGGTCACAGCCCAAGAGCCAAAAGGAGGCAGATAAGCTGATGGAGCCTTACGCAAAGGACCTACCAGTTCGCCAATTTCTATTGACGAACCTGATGAGGGGTGAGCCAGGGGCGCCGCTCAAGTTTCGCATACCTGTGAGCATCCTCACCAAGGCGCTCGACAACATGGCCGACTTCCCCTTCACCAACCCCGAGGAGGCCTCGTTCAGCAAGAGAGCTCTCTTCATTCGAGGCACCAAGAGCCACTACGTGAGCGACGAGACACTGCCCATCATTGGTCGATTCTTCCCAAGGTTCGAATTAGTGGACATAGACTGTGGCCATTGGGTCATTAGTGAGAAGCCCGAGGAGTTTATCAAAGGTACGCAGACATGGCCTGAATCAAATTTGGTCTAGCTAACACATTCCAGCGGTTGTGGATTTCTTACAGGAGAAGGAGTAGATACCCAAACAGGATACAGGCAATACTACGTTATTTATAGACACACCTACGACCATCGGAACACGATGATCGTCTCTGTTGCATGGCAAAGCATCAGACACCAAATTTCACAACATTGAAAGCCGGCTTGAAGAACTGGTTTTATTGTTAATGAGCGACAGGAGAACCAACACCTAATCCACCCGACTCAACAGATCCGTCTACGAACCTCTCCTCCACCGTACCGAACACCCTCCCACCATTCGCCGCAATCTACACCCACTCGATATTCCGACTACAAGGACTTGTACGAACCAACCCGGCCGGAAAAGCATTGCTCCACTCCTGGCTGGACATCCACGTAGTTAGTACCTCCACATTCTGTGTTCACGTAGAAGCGAGCTACAATCTCACGTTAGCCTGGTTCTGGTTCCCCCCAATTTCTGTCACATACTGGTTCTGGTGAAATCATTGATATACACCCTGAAGCTGCCATATGGCGCCTTATACGAGTTGTCCGTGCACGTAGAATTCTGGAAGAAAACGTTGTCCTCGAGCCATGGCTCCTCGCAGCCCATACCGGCGTAGAAGCGGATGATAGCGACACCGTCACCGGGAGCCTGACGCTCGACGACGGTAGAGGGGTTGGGACGAGCGTTGACGCTCGTGGCCGCGAGAGCGGTGACAAGGGCGATGAGGTTGGTGAGCTGCATTTTGGATGTTGCTGGATGCTGTATTGGAAGATGAGAGCTGGATGATGAGAAGACAACGGTATGAAGAGCCTGTCTCTTATACTTATTCGCTGCCTGTCTCCCTTGGAACATCTGTACTAGCAGTACGTTGATGATGCTCTTGGTGGTAAGACCTAACTCCCCTCCAAGCTTCTCAACAGTCGGTCAACACCGCCACCAACTGATGGTGTTGAGGTCATACGCTTCCAAGCCGCCACACATAACCTTATGAGGTATCTTGGTGATCCATCAGCCTCCGATATATGCCTCGCTGCCCGTATCCTGGGTCAGAAGATGGAGGGTTCGACGATGTGATACGAGATCCGATCTTGCATTCGCCTGCATTGTCGCATGTCCGAGGACCGGATTGGTTGGATTGTTCACGTCACCAACGGAAATGCTCCCCGCGACCTGATCTTGGCTCGTGTACATGTGTTGGTGGAGGAGGTAGTGGGAAGTCACTTGCGCATCTGACGAAAAGCTGACGGACTGCTCTGAATCAACGATCTATACAGGAAACTTTCATTCCGATCTTAGCCTCTCCATGCCGTCTTGAACTTCAAAAAAACGTGTTCAAACGCGATGATGGAGTATCAAAAGCTCCTCTCTCGTCTTCTATTCGCCCTCTCTGGCCATCTACCGCATACGCACCGTCAACACTACTTCTACTTCTATGCCACATATATGTACAGCGTTGATATCAACGCCACCAGTTCCGATTAGCAATCTCCTGCCACGCTCTTGGGCTATGTATAAGCTGACGTTCAAACAGCGGAGATCATTGGCATAGCGCACTTGCCCGTGCACGTGGCTGCTCACCAAGTCCACAAGCAGCAGGTCAACACAACTGCTGTCGCCACATCTGCATCGACTGCGATCCATCGCGCCGAAAGGCCGTCAACCCACAGATACTAGCAAAACTTCCTCAAGAGCAGAGCGGGTGTTATTGCGATCAGATTACGACAGAAGTCTTCCGATTAGATGGGCATGAAGAAATTGCTCTGAGGACGCAGGCTGCAGTCGCTTAAGCAACATGCATGCAGACGCGACGGCCCATCGCGCTGACGCGACACGGGATGTGTGCTTGCCGCGACCGTCCGCTCTCAATCTAGGCCACGCTGTGATTTGCCAGGCTTGAGGTTGGCAGGAAGCTCAGTCGCTAGAGGCTTACTAAACTTGTTGCGCATCTTTTGCGATTGGATCGCAGTGTCGGCTCAGGTCTTGGTGCAAGTGCGCTTTGTCACAAGATTGCCAAGTAGACGGACTCTGTGCATGACATAGTACGGAGTCGATTATTTGGACAGGGGAAGATGGACATGATGATGCCAATTGATGAGTTGACGCGTCGTACGCCTCATACCAGTTCTCGATTCTCATCTCCTCACGCATCATTCCCCCACCTTACACTTCCCCATGATCTAGTTCTTCCATCGCTACCTCCTTCTCCCGAATCCTCACTTGCTATCCTCATCTCCACTCCATCCGGGCCGACACTCGCACCCAAGCTAGTTGTTCTAGAGCCCAGAGAGGGGCTGTTGTGGAACTTAGGGTTGCGTGCAGCGTGCACGAGGTCCTGCATCTTTTTGCCAGGCATGGCGCCATCGCGAACGTACGATGTTAAGCCAAGGATGACGCAGATGATGGCGAATGCGTTGGCGAGGGCATATGGGATGAACAGCCCGTAGGCTTTGTAGTCGTAGCGATTCACGTCGGTAGTGAGTTTGACGGCTGTGTTGGCCATGTTGCTGTACTGATCAGCTCACGATTCGATCGAGAAGCGCTCATTTACTTACGTCAGTAGCCGGTTATGCATCATGCTGACCGTCAGATTGAAACTTAGTTCTTCGATGAGAACGTCCAGCGTCCGGTTTCTTGCCATGGCTTTGTCCTGTAATCTCTGATCACTGAGCTTGAAGGCTGTTGACATGTTCTGCCCTTTGTACAACACTTTCTCTTCGTCAAACTCAAAGTACGCATCCAGATCGGCAGAGCCCAGTAGACTAGTACGCTGTATAGGCGAATCAATGACACCGTACTGAGCTGCCGCTTGCTTTTCCGAAACACTCGTGTCATTCAGCCATGCCAGCTTGCCTAACAGTTGATCGCACATAACCCACATGAATGCTGTATACGCATGTTGAGTCATGTTGGAGATTTCATCGGGTCCCTCGTCTGGAAACGAGATCGTTTCACCAACCTCGTATTTGCCGGATACGTTCTGCAGCCCATGATACTGCGAGATCTCCAAACTGTAGGACGCGTTGTGTGGTCGACAGATCTGGTACTGGCGTAATTTGACCCGCTCGCCTTGGTCGTTGATGATAGGCCGCAGAAACGTCATCCAAAGCTCGTTCATTGGTTTCGAAGGTACGTGTTGGCGAGGATGCGAGATTGCTGTGAGTCCTCCAGTGCTATTATGAGTTGGCACGAAGCTAAAGTAAGCATTATCCGTCTCCATAAGTGTGCCATCCACTGCCGCCATTCCCTCTTGCAGGAAAGCGTCGATAGCATGCTCTTCCGTCTCATTGGCCTGGCTGCATCTGATTACCGGAGCATAGAAATCGACGGCGTAGGCGGAATTCCTGAACGGCAGATCCAGCGGCAGTATCTCACCAAAGGACGAAGTCGCAGTAGCCAAGAGATTCATGACGGTCCTTGGCCCAGTGAAGATCCGGTTCTTGTCATCAAAGAACTGTGTTGTACCGGGCCGACTGGGTGGCGAGTAGGTATACCGATGCGCTTCGCTGGCGTTTGCGATAGATGGATATGGCATGGCTGCGATGATGTTTTCGACATTTGTGCCCTCGACTATGAACAGAGTCGCAGGCGTGAAGAAAGGCGGAAGCAACAACCCCCTTGGAATGCATTAGCAAAAGGTCGTTTGTCAAGGTCTACTACTCACCATGCCAGACAAGCCATTACCGATCCTACCTTCAGCCGCTTCCACATCTCCATGTTGAGCAAAGACAACACTGATGTGTCAGCCCCGAAAGCGGAGTTCAACACCTTGAATGTCATATCTTTCTTCAATAGTGTCCTCCAAAGCCACTGGGTATATGCAGTCCAGACACTTGTGCCGAGGCAGATCTGAGCGAGGAAAGCAAACGCAGTACCAAACCTGGCCATGTCAGTAAATCTGGTGACGTGCATACCTACGGAGTGCATTACCTGATCTTTTCCTCTTGCTGGTCAGCCTTTCCAACTATCTGACCCTTGAGTTTCGGGTAAAAGACGCAATGCGCAACACTCATTGCCAGGCCAAAAAGAAGGAAGAGAACCATGAGTAGTGGAGCTTTCCATGCGTGAATACGACGGCCTTTCCAACCAGGAAACGTTCGGGAATCTTGACGTTCTGCTATCGGTCTGATTGCTGGAGATGGCGGTACTTTCGGTAGCAGATGCGCATTGGACTGCGTCGAGCCTCTGTCATCCATGACCTCTCGCGTTTCGACCGAAGCGATCTTCATCAGTTCGGGCTTTTCCATAGTAGCAGTATCTAAGGTCTCTGCGGCACAATAAAATATGCTGGGTTAAGTAGTGTCCGAATTCATGAGACGAAGCAGATGTCTGCTTCACTGAGCTGCAGGGAAAGTATCGCACGGAGATCGAGACAACATAAATAGCAGAAGTGGCACCGAAAGGAACGACCCTCGATTGATTCTTAAGCGGCACGTTGGGGGCCGCTTCATTGGTATAACATCGGTTTAGGCTGATGTATGTCGAGGAAGTGGTAGCAAGGCTGAGCTACATTTTTGCAAGCGGGTGTGTGCCTGCATATGCCTGGCCCTAGGAGCAGGCATATAGAACGCGTGCAAGATTGCGAACTAGTTGTTCCCTACAGGCTGTGCGCAATACCGAGACGAGTGTTACGAGGGCCAAGCCTTATCCTGTGCTGCTTATCGGGGTCAGGTCCTCACGCTGGTGTGTATTGAACGCGAGAAGGTTGCATTTTCTTTTCTCGGCGGTTTCTTATGATCAGAACCTCATGCATAGCCCTCTGATAATTGTCAACACTGTTTGGAAGTAGATCGTGACAGTGTGTAGGAGGTGAACGGTGGGGCTAGCTGCGGCAAGGGTTAGCGATTACGCTCAGCCACCACCAAAATACCAGGAGTGAGTAACCTGGATACTAACTTGGAGCACAGAATATATTGCAAGAAGGCGGAGTATCAGGTGATATCAGCTGAGAATTCTGGAGGCATGGCGGTCGTCCAGTCGTGAAGTTCCTTGGAGCAACGTGAGAGAATGGAAACTATTGACTGGGACGAAGGACATCCAAAAAGACGACAA